TAGCAATAGACCCTGAAAAACACTTACCTGGTGAAAACAAAGCAAAGTGAATTCGAATAATAAACTGGACAAGTTCTGGGAGAGCACACTGGAATTCAATCTTAACACCCTGTCAGTCTGAACACTATGACCCTTGCTTAATCTGCTTTTTCTCAAAATGTGAACTGCTTGTCAGTAGCTGAAAAAGGATTGTGTGATCTGAAACCTCCTTTTCAAGGAATGTAAATAAGAAAGACTTCATTGACCACTTCTCAGTGTCAGCTTCTTTCATTAGCAATACAGTATATATAGGAGCAAAGAGATCACTACCTCATTTCTGAAGGATTTCAAGCAGCAGAATTCAGCTAAAACAAATTCTGATCACTTCCACTGATGACTGTCAGTAAGATGGTAGGAATCACTTCACTTTCAGTTCTACATAAATGTTCAAAGAATCACAGAATATCCCAAGGTAGAAGGGACTCGCTAGGATCATTAAGTCCAGATCCTAGTTCCACATGTAGCTTTAGGTAATTATAAGATGATGGCATTCTTTTCCTTTGTTATCCAATTTTTATTTTTCTTTGTTATTTTCTCTAGACCCAAATATATTATATCAATTTCTTTTTCTTCATGTTGGGAAAAATCTTCTAGGCAGACCACTAATACAGTCCCACAAGTCAATAAAATTTTGAAAACTATTATAACAACACAAGTTTATTTTTCATTTAACAATACTGCTTTGGCGAACACACAGTTATGACCTGCTTTGAGCTCTACTGTCTTGCCTTCTTCTTCTAACTTTTTGCTGAGCTTGTCATTGAATGCTTCAATAGAAAGGAGCTGAGAATCTAGGTTGCTTGTTTCTTTTAATTGGTTTAGTGAATAGTTCCTGTCTAGGATTCTGCATGAGATACTGTAAAGGTAGACAGAGTATTACAGGCACCACAATTTGGAAAATCTTTTGGTGACTTTGGAAAATCTTTTGGTGATTGGAATAGTTCCCAATACCTCTGCTCAAAGAAAACTCAGTCACTCAGTTATTTGTGGCTGATACCTGACTGCAGTGAAGCAAAATATGAAATCTCAATTTCTGAGTGGAGGAAACACATCTAGCAGATTATATTAGATTTTAATTAAAATAAAATTATAAATAAATAAATAAATCCAGCTTTTCCACCAAGTTCTTCTACACAGCTGAGGATCTAACCTGAGAGTAGACTTGCTCAGATGTACCTAGTCACAGCTAATATATAGGAAGAGGGGTACTCTCTTAAAGGTTCTCAGTATAGCTATTCCTTACAGCAATGTCCTGTGTAGGATCAGTAAAAGGCAAGACAAAGCAATTGCTTTTCATTGTGCTGACTGACAAAACAGTGTAAGTAGAAGTATTGATGAATGCAGATTTGCAGAATGGGGTAAATCTCTAAGCAGTATTACACTTCTTCAGGAGTTTAGGAATTCTTAATTGTCTTGTGGAAGTATTTTTTTTTTCACTACTGGCTCTCTTGAGAAGTGCTTTTCTTCATTTTCACCCTATAATACTCACTGTACTAACTGGCCTCCTTCTTTAGCTGCTTTACCCTCTCTGGTCTGAATTACACCAGCTCAAGTATATCACAGTTGACCTCCAACACTGTGCTGTCAGCTGACATGTTTTGTTATGAAAAACATAGCATTTTACAGTAGTAGGATTAACTGTTCTGATCTTGTTGAAATGCTCTCATTTAAAATAATGTTAGTCCTTTGTCAAAACCATAACTGTTTCCTCAACTGATGAAATCCTCATGTTAGCAACTGGAGTTCTATTTGAGCTCTTTCAGAGTTTTATTTGCTTTATTTCTCTGTTATGAAACTCAGGCCAGAAGCATATCAGTTGGGCTATCTGTATAACAGGATTGAATGGGTCTCCAGGGGACTGCTGGTATTTTTTCCTGTGTGAATTTTGTTTTTATAACCATGCAACAACGTTTTATAACAGGGCAAAATCAAAGACTGCTTTGAGTAATTCTTGAAGGAAATGCTAAAAGGTCAAGCCAAGTAACAGTTAGCTGAGTTAAAGAATAAAGTCAAAGCTACTTGTTTTTACCTTGTCACATGCAGCTCCTGCTAGATTAACTGAGTGAGAAGTTTGTGTGTCTAAGTGCACTGGCCAGGAGAAACTTGGGATGTTCCCTCTAAAAGTTCAGAAGTTATGAAACACAGAAAGAGACACACTGTTTCTGAATCCATGGTACTGATTATCCAAGGTGTAAATACTGTAGACACCTACAAATCACATGCATGTGTTTCACCTTTGGCTGCTGTCATTAGGCAAAAGGCAAAAAGGAAACACGAGTTTTGATGCCACAGTGTATGACTGCTGTCTAGTGAGTGAAAAAAACCCAATTGCCACCTCCAGCCTGGTAAACTGTGTGCTTCACTGGAGGAAAGAGCTTTGATGCCTGCAAACAACTTCTTGCTCTAAGTGCCGAAGTTTTTCAGTGACATGCCTTCAGAAACTGTGTGGATTCTTTTTGCTCCATTCCTTATCCACAATCCAAAAGCTGCACTCAAACTAGCATTGTCTTCCTTTAGCTCACAATAACATGGCATGATACCAGCCTCCATGTCTTCATCCCGAATACCAGGCTGTAAGGCAGACAATTCTGTCACATTGACTATAGCTGCCCAAAAATAAAGCTGCCTTACCATCAGTTTCATGTTTATTTCTTCATGATGATCAGTGATGGTTTTTAAGGTATGTCTATATATCCATAAAGCCATCTGTAGATGACCCTTGACAATAAGCATTAATATAAGTACATACTTTTATACTTAGAGTTTGCAGATTATATTAAAAGGCAGCCAACAGCAATCTAGCAAAGATAGTTGCAAAACACGAATAAACTTACAAAGCCTTCCAGATCCAATACGATGATTCAAATCCACATCTTAACTAACAGAAAATGTTTGAGCATTCAGGTGACTGCATTGATTATAGTAGAGATTTTAGTACATTGTAAGTTAAATGTGTCTTTCGTGTTTTACTAGCTTGGGCTGAAACCCATCTCTCCTGCTTATGGATATGAAAAACAAATACAGTAGTGTCATTCTAGCTCTCAGTGCCTGGTCGTCTTTCAGCAAGCACTGATCGAGTACTTTATTGTTAGTTGCAGCAGATAGATCAAAAACGGTTTAGTAATGACAATTCAATTTTCCTATCTCTACATCTTAGTTGAGTCAGAATGGTAGACTATGAAGTACTGTGTTTTGTTGTTGGCCTCACTGTACTTCCGTAGAGAAAGTATTTCACTTTCAGGATTGTTAAGATAACAGCATCCATGATAGAAAGAAAATTATTCATATAAGAGAACTGTTAAAAGCTTGTGATTACTGCATCTTTCTGTGACAAATGCAGTAGGCATTTTTGTCTAAACCCCAGTTCTGTTTATAGCCATCCTTGCTCAAGAATAATTTTATCTGTTCAAGACAGTTAAAAAACTCTTGCAGGATGTAGAGCAACTGATTGCTATTAACAGGATTTCAGTTTTAACAGGATTTCACTTTCAGTGTTCTGTGAGCAATGAATGCCTTAGTGTGCAGATATTGAAGCAGAGATAAAGCACCATCAACAGCAAGACTTAAACTTGGCAGTAACAAACCACAAGGAAAAGCAAGTATCTCCAGGGACTGAAAGGATGAGCATGCTTTCTTCCATTTTCACTTACTGGCAGTAGCAAATGCCAAACTATGGTAATATATGCCATGAATCATATTTATTTATAGCTACAAAGGAAATATATTCCATGGTTGGTTAATTCTTAATTGATTTTTACAGCTCAGGCCTAAAATAAGAGAGCAAAATATACCACTAATTGAGTCTTGTGAATGAACGACTCTTTATGTAATTCCTGCACTTTTATGGATGCCATCCAGTGAAATTTCAAATAGAAAATATCTTCAACTCTTGTATCAGATCAGGGTGACCAAAGTGAAATGGAAAGATAAAAACTCTCAGTAGAGAACAGATTTTGTCCAGTTGATGGTGTCTCAGATTATGGGCAAATTATCCACTTCTGCACAATACCAACAGCTGAATTATGGGAGAAAAAAAAAGGCAGAAGTGGTGAAAAGAGAGACAGAAGGAAACAGAAAGGTCAAATTCAGACACGACTTATGTTCCACTCCTGGCAGCAGAGCTTCTGTCTCCTCTAACCAAAGAGTTGGCACAAAACAATCTAGCAAAAAGGTGACGGGACTAGAGAAACATTGGCAGGAACTGTGCAAGTAACATTATAACCATTGTTCCCTTTCCCTTACGTTAAAAAGTTTTGGTGGCCTCCAGTCATTTACAACTCATGTTTTAGCTTTCACAAAAAAAAGCTTAAGCTTGCTCTGTTCTCTGCAGGCAAGATAAGAATGTGTGGGGAGCTTCTGCTGCTCTGAAGCACAGCTCTCTTGCTGCAGGCTTTGTGTGCTTCAGTACATCTTCATACTTATTCCTGACCCTTTGAGGTGGCTAGCCAGAATGGAACTGCCTATTTGTGAGAAGCTGGTTAGAGATGTTCTCTATGTCTGCCCAGGTAACCTGAGGAAAGCAGCCCTAAAACATCTATTTTTGCCTCAGAAGGTATCACATCTGATGGTCCAGGCAAGGCAAGCAACGGCACAAGAAATTTATTAAGTAAGACCGAAAATTACGTGTCACAAAAAATCTCCCTTTGTGCACATTGTGAATTATTGAAAAACAGACATGTAGAGCTTGAGATTAATGCAGTTCTGTGCCTCAGTTTCACGCAGTGGACTTTTTGCCTTGGAGACACTGCGCACACTGAACCAGGGAATGAGAAACGATGGAGGGAGGCCACCTCAGGCAGAGCTCCCCTCGCTGTTTCTGGTCCTTCTCACAGGAAGCATCGAGCGGGGCAATTCCAGACACCGAGCTGCCAAGAGCCCCCCGCGCCGTGCCCTGAGACAATGCAGCCGGGTTGGGCCGCGCTCAGCATCCCCGCGGCCGGGCATCATGGCGCCTGCTGGAGGTGGAGCCAGCCGCTGACCTGCCGGCACTCGAGCAGCCGCATCCTCTGCCCTGAACAGACCTTTATTTTTTTTCTTTTTCTCTTTTTTCTTTTTTTCTTTTTTTCCCTTTTTTAATCCTATCTGCGCCAGAAAGCGGGGGGACAAATTAATATATTATAAATATATATATTTTATATATATATATATGAATGAAAGGCCGGCAGGAGCCCAGGTGCGCATGGCTGCCCGCCTGACGTGAGCAGCCGGGCCGGCCGCCGCCGCCGCCGCCGCCGCCATGGAGCACATCCGGATGCCCAAGGTGGGTCCGGGCGGGAGCAGCCCCTGCGGCTGTAGGGCCGTTCTGTGCTGCGGCCCGCCCGGCTGCCCCGGGGGAGGGGGGTGCTGCGGGTTGGGCTGGGGGTTTGAGTCGCCTTAGTGAATGGCAGACCCCGACTGTGTCTTGTTATCGGAATGAAGGTGTGTTGTCCTATAGCTCATCTCAGTGTCAGATCTGGTGATGAATTTGTTTATTTTTTGCAGACTGATGCTATAGTCCTTCTGTTAGTCCTTTTTTTTTTTTTTTTCTTTCTTTCTTTTTTTTTTTTTTTCCTGCAGAAGCCTGTGTTTGTTAACAAAGATGGAAATTCCATCTTGCTTTATAAAATGAGATGCAATTTTGGCGCATGCATAAAAATAATGACTAAAAATGAACTCCCACAATATACTAATTTGAAGTGGGCATAGCATATATTTTTTACCTTTTTTGTTTGTTTGTTTCCTGTCATCCTCCAAAGCTGTTAAAAAGTTATTTGTATTTGATTGTGCCTGTGTGGGTTTTTTTGTTTGTTTGTTTTTGTCAGTGTCTAGCATGATGATGCTAATTTCAGATGAGACTCCTTACTTGACTTGGATTTTTGTGTCTTTAGGTGCTAAAATGAACATACGTATTTATAGCATCTGTTCCTTCTTATTTCATGATTTATCAGTGGCATTTTTTTTTTTTTTAATTTTTTTTTTTTAAAGAAAACTGTCAGAACACTAAGAATCATGAGATTCTTATGTCAGAATGTCAGAACACTAACAATCGTCTTACCATGGGTAGGAAATGGTCAGTGGAAGATGCCTGAACAGGTGCTTTTGGCCGTGAGCCAAATGTTGAAAGCATCAATGTGAAAAATAATGAAAGCAGATTAATAAGGAAAAAAAAATTAAATTTAAAAATAAGTCTTCATGCTTGTTTTTAACGAATGACCCAAGCCTATTATGGACAATGGAAGCTTTTCTGTTTTTCTGCAAGTGTGTGCCTTCACATGTTGCAGAAATGGGTTTTGCGTATGTATAGTATCAAGACAGCTATGAGAAAGCACAGCACTGATACTTCAGAACTTGCTCTGGAAATCTTACTCAGTGGGAGGTGATTGTACAGTCTTTATTCCATGTGTCTCCTTATATTTGTAGGTATTCTGGGAGTTATGTCCCTGGAGTAAGGCAGTTTAGAAGGCAGGATGTGAAGGTGCCTTTAAATCCTTTAAAAAATCCTTCTACAAATACAGAAAAGCCAAGATATTAAATATGAGTGGGTGCTGAAATACATCCCTCAAGTTACTCCCAAATACAGTGATGCCATAGTGTATCTACATTTACCTTGCAGAAACAGTATCTTTGATGTGCTTGTTCAAAAACAAAAACAAAAAACAAAACCAGAAAATCAGTCACCAAAAGAATGTTGTCTATTTTTAATTGTTTTTTGTTTTTACTTTTTTCTTTTCACTGATAATTTGAAATTTAACATTAAATGTTTTCCAATATCAGCAATGCAAAGAATGGAAATAGAAATATTCTCACTATATTGAGAGTTAGTCTGTGGTATCCCGTTTCCTAACTCCATGCAATTTCATCCAGTGAAAAGCTTGATAAGCAACTGCCTTCTGTGTAGAGATACTTATTTCAGAATAATGTGACTGTCCAGATGGCCAGTCTAGATGGATTCCCAGACATTTTGAAAATTAAGATAAATCCCATACTTAGAAAATTAGTGAACTTACTAATACAAAATTAAAACAAAGTTCTAGTCCCAAGTAAAAGCTTTTCTTTCAAAAGGAAATAAAAACGTAATGCCAATTGTTGCCAAAATAATTAGCAATTGTTTTTTATTTTAGTTCAAATAAAACAGCAGTGACTGATAGTTCACATATATGAAAATAAATCTGATATATCATAGCTGTCATTTAAGCAGAAGAAACGAACAGTAGCAGAGAGGAGTTCCAAGTCATCTGGACCAATAGTTCATTTAGGTCACTGCTCTGTGTGTTCTAGTGGTGGAAGGAAATCCTGGCCACATTCTTCACTCTTGCGATGTCCATATTTGTATTGTTGCGGTCAAGTCCATCCCTCCCTTGTTTGATTCATGTCCCTTTATGGACCTCTTGTTCATGTGTTTGCCAAAGCCCTTTCTGGACATGCTAACACCTTTTTCCTGTGTGGGATCAAGTTGCAAAAGATCACAGCTGTAGAAATTTTGTTCAGTGCTCCTTGCTTCTAGCTTTGCTGATTTGGAGAATAACAGTTTATTCTCACCTTTTCCAAGCCTTCATCATAAATCTTGATCACAGCCCGTGTGTTTCTGGTAAATTCGAGAAATGTCAGCAGTCACCCCTAGACCTTTTCCCTGTGTGGGAACTATAATTTCTGAGTCCATCAATGGTTGTGTAGACATGGTTTAGGGCTTTTTCCCTCATAGTTAAACCATATATATTTGTTTGCATCTCTTTTGCCTGCACACGGCTCTTCTGAATCTCTTGTGCCACAAATACAGCATTTGGCTGTCTAAGAAAGCTTACTATCATCCACAGACTTGAGGATTTTACTGCTTACTCTTTTCTCCAGGCCATTGATAAAGTGGAGTGAAACCAGTCTCAGAAGTTGTAGGACTTCACTGCTGACTTGCTTCCATCCTGAATGACATGCCACTAAGCCCTACTCTGCTTCCTATCCCTTAAGCAGCTTTCAGTTTGTAAATGGACTTTTTCTCCAGTACCATGGTAACTTAGTTTCTCTAAAAATCTTTGATTGTCAAAAGGTTTTTTTTTAACTCTAAATATATCTTGCCCTCTGGGTCAGCCTTACTGAATACTTTGCAACAGCATCACAGGCCTCCAGCGGGATTTCCCACTCCAAAATCTGTTCTGAGTCTTTCAAAATGTGTGTATTCCCCTTCTCAGCAGTTCCGTTCTTCCAATGTGCTATTGACATAACTACATAATTTTGGTAATGGTACATTGCCTAGCCCTTCACCAAAAGGCATAATACCTTAAATTCTAGTTCTGAAGAGTTTAACTATTATCTCTCCTTAGTAAGCAAAAATAGCAAGTTAATAGCAGAAAAAGAAACCACTTGACTAAACACTGCTTTTCTTCATTATTTTATTAAGGAGTATTCCTTAGCCCTTCTGGACAATATACAGCTGAGTCTCAAACACAGTCTTTCATGTACTAAATGCCATTGTTCTACCGTGATGTTGTAGGTGGAATGGAGAGTGCATGTACAAATACACAGAGGCAGCAGTGGTGTAAATGTCACAATGTAAATGTCGTCCTATTTATAAAGGCTGTAATTTGAGTGTATTTAAAAGTTGCTAACTGTCGCGCGTAGCTAAATAAAGTTATGCATAATTCCAACAATCTTTTAAAAATGAGTAAAACCACTGTCAGCCATTAGTATGGGTTGAGCAGCAAGATTTGTCTAGGATAACTGCCAAAACCCAAAACTTGAACTGCTTATAACAGTGATTAAAAAAAAATTAATAAACAATACTTTCACATAGACAAGAAGCATATCTTATTAACATCTGTAGAGATATGTTTAACCATGAACAGGTAGACAGATAAGGTCTCTAAAGATGTGTTTATTTTATTGGGGGACTTTGGGCACTGTTGCTAATCACTTTATTTTATTTACCATAATCATTCCATATCATTTGTCTTCATATATTGGCAGCAGGATTATTGAATGGGCTTCTTAAAATAAAGAACGCATCATATTTATCTCTGGTATAGCAGGTGTCTTAAATGGAATTAACTCAGAAATTCATTTGATTGAGTATCTCTTGTTAACACAATACTTGGGATGATTTGAGTTGCTCAAGTGGTTTTGTTTTTGTGATGTTACAGTGAGGTATTTCTTTTCAATGACTCCTTTCTCAGGAAAACTGTAAGATACATTGCTATTTCTCATGATGATGAAGAATCCTACCAAGTATTTTACTTTCCGAAACTAATTTCTAGCACTGAGTGGTATTTCCTTTCTGTTTTAGCAGATTTGGCCTAGATGAGCACACCTCAGTCACAAAAGTCCCCTGTGCCATTCTCTTTCCTGAATTTTCCCAGCTATGCAGGATGTATTTGTACTGCAGATGTATTTGGCCCAACAGAGTTATTCTGGGGATACGATAGACAGTACCCTTCATCCTGTGTTCAAGTAACATGATTGTTACAGAGGACCACAAATAAAACTTTTGAGAACAGTTTCAGCTGAAATTTCACTGATCTGCTTATGTAGGGAAAGTTTATTTATTCAGTTCTGGTTACTTTGGGGCATTGCTACTTATGGAATGAGATTTTTAATGCTTAGCTTTAGATATGTGATTTAAGAGCAGAAGATCTGTACACATAGCCAAAAGAATATCTGGAATTAGAGAAGATTCATAGTCTCCAGTTACCCTTTATTCTTCATGTGTATGAGCTTCTAAGATAGTTATGTAAATAAGGTGCAGAAACTTTGGCATTAATACTTTATTTCATTTTCTATTAAAATAATCTACTTTACCTGGTTACTACTCTTACAACTGTTTCTTTGTTTCTGTAATCTGATTCATATATCTCACCATGATATATTAATACACATTCTCCTGAAGAAACAGAACATTACTTTTGGTTATCTTTATCCATTTGTCTGTTCTTAATCTCTGGTCATCCTATTGAAATTTCCATGTGAAATAGGTTAAAACATGTCATATATTTATTATCTGAAAACTCTCTGCCTGTGTAGCAGTAACAGCCTGTAGGACAACTGATCATTAAAATAATAACTAATTAAGTGTTGACTGGTTACGTCTAATTGAGTGAATGCGGGAGCACACTGACCTTTGTGAAGTGAGTGAAGGAGCTGTTGTTCTAGATCAGGATGCTCGGTGCTCTTTAACATCTGTATCAGTGATATAGATGATGGAATCGAGTGCACCCTCAGCAAATTTGCTGTTGACACCAAGCTGAGTGGTGCAGTTGACACGGTGGAAGGAAGGGATGCCATTCAGAGGGACCT